TTTCCCCTTTTGATTCTTTTCACCAAATATTTACTAAGTTATCTGATTTACATGAAATTTAGCACTTCAGGGTGTTCTTTTTCTCACAAAGTATATTTAATAAAAATTCTGTGTATGTACAAATGTGTCAGTATTTATTTTATTTAAATCAAAATATAGAACCCTGAAAATTATATATATAAAAGCCTGCCGCAACCTTTGTGGCAGGATTTAGGATCTGAAAGAGGGGACAATGCACAAATGAAAATGCTATAGAAGAAATATGAATTTTGAAGGCATTGTGGGCCAGGTGGAGACTCTTTTTTGAAGAGAGACACCGACTTCTGGCCTGGTCCGCTATTTATTTACTTGAATACACATTTTCCCTTTAGCAATGCATACTTTCATATCAAGGATAAAGGTTGGTAAACAGTAAAAGGATTATCAGGTTAGGGAATTGCCTTGAGCCACCACTATCTCAACAGACAAGGTGCTTAGTGTCAGCCCTGCTTATGCACAAGGTCCATCGGCCTTCTGCATTCCTTGGTGACAATATTGGCAAGCAGTGGCTTCCCGCATCTCCCCCTTTTTGTTTTCTTAATAAATCTTGAAAAGTGTGTGCAGTCTGTAGGGTTTGAGTCCTTTTAAGACTCTTCATTCCACATCTGCAGATTAGAAATAAACATATAAGAACAAGAATGAGACAGACAATAGTGGTTATGCTAAAAAGTCAGATGTAGGGAGATCCAATGAAAAGGATTGAGTTTTTTCATGACCTTTTTAAATTGCTGCCAGGCATCTAAGGAACTAGTTCGTAGTAGGCTCCTTTCTGGGCCATCAGTTCTTTATGGGTCCCCTTCTCAATCACCATCCCCTGTGACATGACAGCAATGATATTTGAGTTCTGGATGGTGGACAAATGGTGGGCAATGAAAATGCAGGTCCGACCTTCTCTGGCTTTGTCCAGGGCACCCTGTACCGTTGCACAACTGATGACTACTAGCATGGCCAGGAAAACATTCTTAGGTGTTCTCAGGGTTCTTGTTCTGGACTGTCTTCTTTATTATCCCCCCGGTCATCTCCAGACTGTTTCTCATCTGTATTGTTCTCCTCCCAATTCTTTATCTTCAGCGTGTTGCTTGGGGCTACTGCTATCTGTGGCTGGAGTAGTCATTTGTCTGCAGGGATTTTTCTGGAAATACCCAAGCATATCTTCAACCAAAGGTTAACAAAGGGTTGGGACCCTTCCATAAACCAGACTCAGGATTTTTCCATTTAACCAAACCATTTTCCTTTGGTTTATTCTGACACCAATGTAATGCCATAGGTTTCTTGCCATCAGCATTACAAGTGAAAAAATTTAAGATAATTAAGGCTTGGTGTAGTCTACTACAGAAGCTTTCTCCAGTATCACTATTCTCCCTTTTTGTTTTTCAAGTTGGGATTATAGCCACTGATGTTGGCATTCTTTAATGGTGGTATTCCCGTAATGTGCCTGTTGTAATAAAGTATGCATTTCCTTTTGTTAAAGGACCAGGCAGGGTGGTATGAGCCCTGATATGAGTAATATAAAAGGGATGTTGTCTTTGCTGTACAATTTGCTGTACCTGTTTAAATAGTATAAAGAGACTTTGGTCACTGAGCCATTTTAATTGAGCAATCTCCATTTTGTTTACCAGGCCAGCAGCAAAGGCAAAAATCAGAAATAATAAGAGGCTCTGTAGTGCAACCTTGATAGCCTCTAATTCAGTCCTTTGTATAGAAGTGTGACTAGTCTGGATGACTCAGTCTGAATCCATTGCATGATAAGCAGCTTTACCATTAGACAAAACATCAGTAAAAATAGTTAATGCTCCAGGAATAAGTTCCTGTCTAGTATTTTTTGGTATAAATAATAGGGGTGTAATATAAAAATTGTAGTGATTTGTTTTTTAGTAGGTGACAAGTAACTTCTCCTGAATATTCCCTTATTTCAATTTGCCAATTTAAATTAGTCTGAAATAAGGTTTATTTTCTAACTTCATTTGTTCTTGGGTGTGGACAGCAAATGACACTAGTTGGATTTTCTGCTATCAGTCTCCTTGAGTATATTGACATAAACTATTTACCCTTTGTTTAGGGAGGCAAAATGCATATTATTTATTCTTTAAGTGTCCTTGGTTTAGGAAAGATAGGATTTATTAGATGGTCCCAAACCACTTGGCATTTATATTTTTTAGATGTTTGCAAACTGCTATTATATGCTGTATTTGCTATCTTACTGCTCGAGTGAGGTGAGCCATGAAATTAGAAAATCATTCTATAGGTCTTTGCATACACTTAATAAAAGCTTCCTTAGGATTACCTAAGTATATTGAATAAATTTGTCATTTCTTCCTTAGAGATTTTTAGGTAAGGTCTTAATGTTTCCTAATAATTTCTATAAGTCATTTAAAGTTTTAAGGCAATCCTTTTGTATTTCTACCTTTTGAGGCCTAATATACTGATTTTTAATTACAGTTCCTAGCTATTTGAGGGGCATTTCCCTCTGTATTTTTTCCAAAGCAATCTCTAAGCCCCATTTAGGGAGTTTCTTTTGTAATTGGGTAAGCATTGCTAAAGTCTGCTTTTCCTGTGGGCTTGCCATAAATTGCTACATTAAAGATTTTGACTTTCTTTTAAGCATAACAACTAACTTGGTGTCTCCCAGAAAAACAAGTAGGGGAGAAACATGCTGGCCAATACTGCAATGCACACATTTCAAGTAAAAGTAACTTTCTTTTTACTTATGGTGAGGCAACAGGCGTGGGGTGGCCCTGCCATCACCCCATGATCACCCCACAGAGAAAGGCCCAGGACACTGGCCAGTGATGCTGTGGCAGGTGTGCGACTGGCCAGCCCCATGATGGTGAGATTTAATTCTTGAATTAATGGTGAGGTTTAATGCTTGAATAATAACTTTTAGTTTACTTTGTAAATAGTAGTGGAAGAGATTTTAAAATTTCTTATTTTTAAGCTTAAATTTACTTTTAAACAGCATTCTTTTTGGCTAGTGCTCATTTGCATATGTATGCAAATTTTATTTTGGACTTTAGTAGAACCAGTTCCTCATAAAATACTGGCTTCACATATAAATGAGTTTATCTGAGACTTTGATTATATTGTGAAAAGCTACCTTATTAAGTAATTAAAGTAGGCACCTTTATTGAAAAAGTGAAGTAAGCAAACTTATGTATTTGACCCATGAAGTCCAGGAGACACCCTACTCCCCCCGCCTCCCCCCTGCCAATCTGAAAAGCAGGGCTGGGTGGGGGCCTGAGGCATTATGTGTTTTCCTGTTTTGAAATTTCACTGCTGAATATTCTGGTTTTGCTTAAGAAGTATTCAGCAACCTTGTCCTGCTAAGCTTAGAGGCTGAAACCTTTATAACATTTAAAATATCTATAATAATAAAAGTGTAATATACAAATCGACCAAATGACCGAACAGCATCTGACGACCTTCCTGACGACCACACTATGACACGCACTGGTGCCAGGCCAGCTAAGAGGGTGCAATGCGATTGGGCAGGGGGCCCTGCCATCACCCCATGATCACCCCACAGAGAAAGGCCCAGGACACTGGCCAGTGATGCTGTGGCAGGTGTGCGGGGCTGGCCAGTGATCACCCTGCAGAGGGAGGCCCAGGCCAGCCAAGCGATCACACCCCACGCCTGTTGCCCACAGAGGGAGGTGACAGGTGGCAGGGGAGGGGGGGCAGTGTTGCACAGATGGCAAGCAGTGGTCGTGGTGGGGTTGAGGCCAGCTGCCAGCATCCTGGGGAAGGAAAGCATCAATAGTCCCTGATCACTAGACAGGCCTAGGGACCCTACCTGAGGGGTCCTGGATTGCAAGAGGGTGCAGGCCGGGCAGAGGGACTCCCTTCTCCCCACACACACATGAATTTCGTGCACCAGGCCTCTAGTCTATAATAATAAAAGTGTAATATGCAAATCGACCAAACGACCAGTCGTTATGACGCACACTGACCACCAGGGGGCAGATGCTCAATGCAAGAGCTGTGCGCAGGCCTCAGGCCAGCCAAGGTGGGTGCCAGTGGAGCCCCCCCCGTCCTCCCATCATCCCACTGGTTGCCCCACAGATCAGTCCTGATTGCCAGCCAGGCCTAGGGATCCCACATATAATTGTCATCAGTATTGTATTC